AAAGACCTCTTCAAAATGTTAAAAAGTAAATATGTCACTTTGAGGACAAGCGTGTGCCTGATCCAAGCCACAGTATTTTCAATCTCCTCCTATTGTATGTGAAAGTTAGACAAAGATTCAGGAAAATCAAAGAAGAATTTATTCCTTTGCATTATTTTGCTGGCAAACAATATTGAATATATATTAACAGCCACCACCACAGGAACAGAGAGACATATGTCTTGGGAGAAGAAGTATAGACAGAGGTTTTTAGAAGCAATGATGGAGGGACTTTAAAGCACATACTTTGGATAATGTTTTCAGGTGGGACCAATTACGAGAAAGGGGATGGATTTTTTTTTGCTTAGCAGAGTAGTTTGTCTGCGGGGGGAAAAAAAGACCCTACACAAAATGTATTGACCCAGTTCTCCTGTACTTAGGTTCACATATGAGTCAGAACCAACCCAACACCTAACCACATGCCATTTAATATCTCAAACTGAAAGTGACATACTCATTTCCATCATAGTAGATAATCACTTTACACCATTTCTTAGAACTCAGTTTTCAGGTAACAGGGTAGGAACCAGTTGTGCCCTTTTCGTATACTTGACAATTTTAGAATAACTTTGGAATTATGGTTTGCGTAGAGGCTGGTAATTACTCTATCTTATCTTCTCCTTCAGTTTGTGTCAAGAAGATAATAAAAGTGTATTTCCCACAAGTTCCTAATACTTGGTATTGTGAGTTGAATAGCATCTCCTGTCTCTCAAAACAGTGTTTGGTAAAACACTGGCCTTCTATCTTAATAACTCCATCAGAATAATAGTAAAACTACTGGCACCCATTCTTTTTAGATGTGTTAGAGAAAGAAAGTGATATTATATCATCAATCTTTTGCATTTTGGCAGATAACAGTGACTTATTTATAAGCACTATTATTCTTTTGGAAAAATCTATTTGCAGATGAAATTCATTTTCCTACTATGCAAGGTAGGCATGGTAGCAAAATGAAGATAGTCAGGAAGTCTTTCTCTAGAATTGAAGAAGGTCTGGCAATAACAAGAGTTGAAATGAAATGTGATTTATTTAGAAAAATGCATATTTGCTAAAGTAACAGGTGAAAACATTATAAATTATATATCATTTGAAAAATTAAGTTATGTCTCTTCAGTTAATTATCAGTCTCATTATAATGCTGGCTATAGCAGTTCCAAACAAAAATAACTGATTACTACCTTTGTAATTGAATTCTTAAAGGATTTCATGCCATATAATTATATTTTTGAAACATCATCTGAAACACAAAATGTGCTTATTTATAATCATCAGAATGTGTACATTAGAGCAGGGCAGAATTGTATCCACAGTTACCCAGGACCCAAATTCAATCACCATTTGCATTTTCTGCCACAATAAAAGAAAATACATCATATGCTTTTAGTAGTCACAAAAAGGAGATACTGTTTTATATGAAATGAAATAAAAAACAAATCTCATCTTTGACTAGAGAAACGCTTCCCCAGGACAAGGAAAAAAAAAACCCGAAGAGTCCCTCTGAAAATATCCAGTGGTAACAATTAAATAGGACAATTAAAAAATGTAAATTTCATTTTAAATTTGGTTCACAGAAGAGAATCCAAACTTTATAAACTATATAATTACATGGGTAACAAACTCTGCTCCATTTTGTGTACTAAGAGTTATAAAATGGTGTAAAACTAACAAGCAGATATATTTTCAAGTACAGGAACAAAATGTAATAAAATAGGCCTTGTTAGAAGTTTAGTAACATAGACATGAAAGAATGATATTGCAAAGCAAACTCTATCAGTATATAAAGTGCCTGGGCCCAGCAAAAACTTGGTAATGATTACTTTCTATTTAATATTAAAAGCTCCTTGGTGGCTCAGTGTATAAAGCACTTGGCCCCTAACCAAAAGGTGGGTGGTTTGAACCCACTTGCCACTTTGAGAAAGATGCAGCAGTCCGCGTCCCTAAAGACTATAGCCTGGCGAACTCTGTGGAATTGCAGTGCAGCTCCTTTAAAAAAAAAATTATTTTATACTGATTTACTTACAAAGTTTGTATACATTGTTTTTCACACTGGATCTTTCCCATTGTGTGGCCCTATGATTATTCCCCTGCCCATCCTCACCCTTCTGCTCCTAACCTCCCCCTCCCTGAAGCCTCATACACGTTTTACTAGTTTTTCTTCAATAACGGTCTTACACAGTATTTGTCTTTATGGGACCAAGTTAGTTCACTTAGCATAATGCTCCCCAGTCCTTCCCAAGTTAAATAAGTTGTGATTTTCAAAACCATTGTTCCTACATGCTGTGTAGTATTCCATTGTGCAAATGTACCATAATTTCGCAGTCCATTCTAAAAGACAAGGAAAGACTTTTCACAGAGGAAGATATTCAGATGGCTAACAGACACATAAAGAAATGCTCCAAATCACTGGCAATAAGAGAGAAGCAAATCAAAACCACAATAATATACCACCTCACTCCAGTAGCAGTACCAAAGTTTAACAGGACAGCAAGTAATAAATGTTGAAGAAGATGTGGAGAGATAGGAACTCTTAACTATTGTTGGTGGCATTGTACATGGTACAACCACTCTGGAAGGCAGTTAGGTGTTTCCTAAAAAGACTAAACATAGAAATTCCATATGATCCAACTATTCCACTGCTTGGAATATACCCTGAGAAAGTGAGAACTGAGGCACAGAGATTTGTGTGCTGCTGTTCATAGCAGTGTTATTCACCATTGTAAGAATATGGAAGCAGTGCAGCTTCTTAACTACTAGGCCATCAGATCTCCCTCTAGAAACTGTACTGGGCACATTTCTACCCTGCCCATTAAGATCATTACATTGTTGTTGTTGCTCTTGTTAGGTGTTATTGGTACAACTGCAGGTCATTATGAGTAGAAATTAATTCATTGTATTTGTGGGTTAAATAAGTGCAGTTACAGGTATATATGGATATGAGTATTTTATATTCAAAAATTCTAGAAAGATCATCATGAAATCAACCACTGCATGAATATGAAATTCAGTAAATCACAGAGAATCAACATTAAGTGTCAATTTTCATGCATGCCCAAAACAGAACAGAAGGAGAAACTGGTAGTCATCTAGGTAAACCATGACCCATCACTTAAAATCTAATAACCAGTGACAAGAACACTTGGTTATTTACATATTTCTGGAGGCCTTTTAAGTCTTCCAGTAACTTTCTCATACCAGAAAATATCAAATCTTTCTGTGCGTCCTTCTAAAATGAACAGTATTAATAATATCCATTGCCATGAAGTCAATTGCAAATCATAGTGAACTTCCTTTGGGCTTTTGAGGCTGTTCAATCTTTTGAGAGAAGACTGCCCATCTTTCTTCTTTGAAGCAGCTAGTGTGCTTGAACTGCTGACTTCTTAGTTAGCAACTCAACCTGCAATGCACCACCTTCAAAGGAAATCCATTACACAAATACCAATAATTACAAATTGAGCTGAATCCTATTTACAAACAATAGCCAAGATGAATAAAACAATTCACATTTTATAAGCCACTTCTATTACAAACCAAAGGCTAAAACAACTACTGTGCAAGTTTCATATAATGAGACAAAGAAAATCAGCTTCACATTAAACTTACAATGTGAAAGGGGAGTGGATGGATGTAAAACTTAAGTTCCACCAGAAAACAACAGAGTAACCTAAGCAATAACTCAGCATGAAAAGAGAGCTATTTCTGATTTCCTAGAAGACATTCTCACTGGTTATTATTTCTGATTACTGTGGTAGAACATAGCATTTTTCATCTAATGCCTTAGAAGAATGTTTGGTCACACCATGCTCTGCCTTATTTAATGATTTATGTTGAAACCATTCATTTCCATTTTTTCTCACATGTGTGAAATGTCAAATAAGAGTGATAAGACAGTCAATTTACCTTCAATTTCCTCAATAATATAAGGGTTTTGAGAGTATGTGGAAGAACTCTAAAATAATAGGCTAATATAGTTCCTCAATTCTCTCATCCTCCTTGTTCCACTTGGAGGAAAGAGGCTCTATTTCTGATACTATCTCGTTTAAAGTTTAAGGGGCTTAAAATGGCTGCTCTTTAACCCCCAAAAAATGTTCTCAAATATAGTTATTTTCTGAGTAAACATCTTCCAAAAGAAAAATTCTACAAAGACTATAACACCTTCCCTGGAGTGTTTCTAAAAGGTAACATAAAAATAGCTATGAGTAAAAGAAGAAATAATGTTTTAAGAACTACTAAAAAAGAAATAAAATATAAGTGGTTCTACTCAACCTGCTTTGTTTCATCTTTCTTCCACACTTGCAAATGCATGCACACACACACACAGAGCATAACAAATTTCAACTACAAGTTTTAAAAGCAATTACAAAGAAGCAAAATGGAAAATAAATCAATTCTCTATAAGAAAGGAAACTGAGCCATAGCAATAGCTCTCTCCTTCCTCAGTGAATCAGAAACAATCAATTCAAGATCTGTAATAGGCATAACTCACATTTCATTTACTGACTATTCAAACTAGTCTAACAAAATTTAGATATTAAAAGGTAAATCATACTTCCATTCACATAGTATCAAAATTTACAAAAGAATTACAAAACTCATGACATCAAAAACATTGCATTGTAATAACATTGTGCACTTGTCCCCGTATGTAGAAAACTAAGGATGAATGTTAACAGAGAAAAGATCATCATCTATTTGAAAATAATCTTTCCTCAAAATTTACTTACAAAAATTTAAAAAAATACTAAAATTGATAATAATTTTTAGAAAATGTATCTTAAGCACACTATACAAACAACTGTGTGAACACTTCAGTGTCCAGAAATCAAGATTATATTTCATACTATACTACATACACATGATTTAACCAGAGTTCATAAAGGTTTATAAAACTAGATCTTATAGATTGATAACATGTTTTATTTCAATAAACAATAGTTGATTCCCTCAGAGATGAATCATCCACATCATAGTCGTCCTTGTTTGGCATCACCAATAGCTCCCCAAACATCAAAGATAAATTCCTCTGGGAACGCAAAGTCTCCAAGAGTTTTGTTAAGTGCCTCAGTAAATTCATCTGGATTAACTTTGTTCTTTGCAGCTTCAAATATTGTGGTAGCTATAAAAAAAAGTGGGAAAATTAATAATAAATAAGATTAGCATCAGAGAACTTAGAAATGGTTCCAGAAAAACCACTTGTTAAAAATGACATGCATATCTATTTTTATAGTACAAATTAAAACAATGATATTATCCATCACATATTAGAGTAGCAAAGATATCTTTTAGCAATCTTTCCACCACACTTAGGCTTGAAGGTGCCACTCTCCTCCCTTTTTACTTTGGAATACATCATTTGAGAATCTTTGGAATTCCTATGGATGGGACATAACATCCTGACTAACCCAGCAGGAGATTTAAGGTACAAGAGGCCCAGAATCATTCCTCAATTTCACTATAGTCACTAGCTCTGCATGTACCAATTACCAGTTCCCAAGAGTCTAGTCCTCTTCCCCCCCCCCCAAAAAAATAGATACTAGGACATACATACTAGGAAAAACCCAAGGCCTCTTTTTATGAGTTCATCGCCAGTTGGAATAGAAAGTCAAGATGGTGTCTTTGTTCTGTATTTCTATGAGCTCTGTTGTCCGTCTCTGGGGAGTACACAATCTCATGAGAACTGCACCAGCTGCACATGACATTCAGTTAGATTTTGTTCTGCCTCTAATGAGCATCAGTAACCAAGAATAGAATCTGTGAATGTGATATGGGACTTGGGTGAAGTTCACTCCATTAACCTCTATGTAGAAGAGAACACTAAACCTGAAAGCAAAGCTTAGCCCTTCCTTCACTTACAGATGAAGGCTCAATTGATCAAAGGTCCTCTGAATGAGTCATGAGGCCCACTCTTTTAGCTAAAATTCACTAGGTTTTTCTTTCTCAAATAGTTCAGTAATAACACAATAGCAGGCTAGGAAAAGGGAAGAGCCAGGCCACAGCATGACACTACCAATCAGAGGCTGGATAGAAATGGGGTGACCTGGTATAGGGGATTCAAGCCTGAGCAAAGTAAATAATGGCAACCTGATATGGACGGAAGTGGGTGTGGTGAATGGAGCATCAAGGAAGAGACTGGAGTGAAGGAAACAGCCACAGTGATGAGAGAGTAGTGACATACATGAGGATTGATCGCATAAGAACAAAGACTACTAGGAATCAGATGTGTCACTATTAAAGAGCAAATAGTGAAAGGAGAAAAAAAACCTGAATTAGCCCTATGATATTTAACTGGAATTGTAGATATCAGTGTAGGGTTTTTTTATTTTAAAAAAAAGTGCTTACAGGCAAATATAGTCAATGGAAAAAAGTTGTAAAACAGAGATAGAGAGATGATAGATAGATAGATAGATAGATAGATGATAGATAGATAGATAGATAGATATAAATACTTACACACATATTTCTAGCACAGTACATTGAGAGGGAATGGAAGCCAGATATCCCAAAAGCAATGAGCATACAAAGAACATAGTTCTTGGGTTTTGGTAACTACCACTGTTAAAAGGAATCATGCATTCCCTGAAGAAATAGCTGATTCTAGGACTAGAGTAAGCAAAGAACAATATGAACTAAGAACATCTTGTGTCAGATAGTAAGGAAATACCACCAGATGATGGGAATGTGTCAAAAGGACACATAAATCAGGGTGAAAAGGTTCAGGGACAAATTAAGCATCAAAAAACAAATCATGAGCATCAACCATTAGAGATAAACGACAATAAGGTGTTGTCTCACTCTAGTAAAAACAGCAATGATTAAATAAAGGAAAACAAACTCTCGTGAGACTGGAGGGAGACTAGAACTCTAATTAATATATTGCTAGTGGGACTGTAAAATGGTACAAACACTATGAAAAACAGGAAGTATGGCCTTAAGAAAGTGAGAAATAGAGATCTCATATGATCAGCCACTTGACTAGTAGGCAAACATCATAGCGGGGGTGGGGAAGAAAAGACTTGAAATGACTATATATATGCATGCCCATGTTCCTCGTGGCATGACTCACAACTGCAAAAAGACAGGAACAACTTAAGTGTTCACCAACAGATGAATGGATAAACAAATCATGCATACACACACAGTGACATACTACATATCTTTAAGGAATAATAATTAATAAGAAAATCATCTCACAACATGGATAGACTGGAAGGATATCGACTGAATGAAACAAATAAATCACAAGAGACTACCACAAATTCCAGAGCAATCTAACACCCTCTCTGGGGGTCTTTGAAATCCCCTATAAAAGGAAACTTTCTTTGTCTGCCTGTGTGCCACTCTGATCCTTTCTGCGAGTGGTCACCTGGCATCCCTCTCAGACAATAAAGGTCTGTTCTCTACTTGAGGGGTGGGAGGAAGAGATAAATACTATGTGAGACAACTAGAATAAAATGTCAAATATCCTTATGTACATCAACCAATTATTCTAAAAGAGTATGAAAAGACTGCCAAATACAGCCAGAAATGCACAATCTGAAGAGGATAAAATTGAAGAATGGGACCTCTGTGCTCATGAAAACCTTTTTCTAAAAGGTTGAAAAGAAAACGTACTGATTGTGAACAAACATTTGGCAATATCATCTCAGACAAGGGTCTCATAACAAAAGTTTACAGAATACCCCTGTGCTCCAGAAGAAAAAGACTGATAATCCAAATGTAAAATGGGCAAAAGACATGGAAAAACTTCACAGAGGAGGACATTCAGATGACCAACAGACACATGAAGAAATGCTCAAAATAACTGGCAATAAAAGAGATGCAAATCAAAACCACTATGAGATACCCTCTTACCCCAGTAACAGTGAAAAGTTTAGCAGGGCAGCAAGTAATAAATGGTGGAGAGAATGTGGTGAGATGGGAATTCCTATACATTCTTGGTGGAACTGCAAAATGGTTCAACCACTCTGGAAAGCAGTTTGGCGTATCCTCAAAAAAGTTGAGCACAGAAATTCCACATGACCCATCTTCTCCACTGATTGGAATATACCCTGAGAAAATGAGAACTGAGGCACAAACAGATATTTGTACACCAATATTCATAGCAGCATGATTCACCCTAGCAAGAAAATGGAAATAGCCCAAATGTCCAACCACAATGGAATGGACTGAGAAATTATGGTACATTCACACAATGGAATACTATCCAGTATGCAGGAGCAATGGTTTTGTAAATTATTACCTAACTTGGGAGGGACTGGAGAACATTAATGTTGAGTGAACTAACTCAGTCCCATAAGGACTGGACAAATATTGTATATGACCATTATTGTAGAACATGTATGAGGACCCAAAGCAGAGAGGGGGGAGAAGAGCGGTGAAGAGTTAATCATAGAGTCGCATAATTTGATGTGTAGTGGGAGAGGTGGGTAAAGGAAAAAGGAAAAATGTGGCGTGAAAAACAATGTATATGAACTTTGTAAGTAAAGCACATAAAATAAAAATTTTATTTTTAATTTCATTTTTTTAAAAAGAGTAAAAGAACCTACAACATGTACTTGGAAATAGCATATCTGACAAGGAGCTCACTTCACTTCAAAAACTTAATGAAAATGCCAATATCTCATCTAGAATAAGCAAACAACCGAACTGAAAAATGGGCAAAGGATACAAACAGACATTTCACCATTTGAAAACATTCAAATAAATGTTCAAGATCATTATCACTCATTCATTCATTCACTCTCATTGCCATCAAGTCAAAACCATCTCATAGCTGACCCTTCAGTGCATTTTCAGAGGTTGAAAATTGCCCATATTTCTCTGAGGGTTGCTAGTGACTTCAAACTGCCAGAGAGGTCTAATTTTGGAGTTAGCAATGCACCCACTATGGACTAACAAAACAATAATAAACAGCATTTTAGCCTGGCAATAACAGCAAAGTACGTTAAACAGCAAATACACACCAGACAAAGTATGGAGACATTAAAATTCTCATATTGCCAGTGGAATGTAAAATGGTACAGCCAGTATGGAAAGCAGCTGGTGCTTCTTTAAAAAGTTGAAAATAGATAGATAATTTGATCCAGCAAGCACAGTACTAGGAGTATATATTAAAGAACTAAGAACTATGGCATGAACAGATATATGCACAACTATGTTTACCACACATTATTCCCAATAGCAAGATTGAAATAACTCAAGTGTCCATTAATGGACAGATTTTTTTAACTACGGTCCATAACACAGTGCAATATGGAAAACCAATAGAGAATTCATGAAATGCTGCAAAACATGGACAAATCTAGAGGCATGATGCTGAGTAAAATAAGCCAGTCATAAAAGGATAAATCCTGTATAATATCACTATTGTTAAAAGATAAAGAAAAGTCTACCAACAGAATCATTCTTTATGATTACTAGGGATGAAATGGCAGATAGAGAGAAGTATAAATTAATAAATAATGGCAGATAGAGAGAAGTATAAATTAATAAATAGTTAATACACTCTTATTAAGATGGGTGAAAGGAAAGGCAATATAAAATAAGCAGATGATCAGACATTCTGAGGGCTGTAATTAATGTCATAAATAAAAATGTGTACGAATGAGTAAAACTAATATGCTTTATAAACTTTCACTCAAATAATAATAAAAT